CCTCAGATGTTATATATTTATGTACTACCTATCTGATCAGAGTCTCGCCTCAAGCTACTTTCCTTTGACACATCAATATCTCCCCCATGTTTTACAAGCCTGCTTCTCTTCCAGCTCATCAGCCCACTGCTCTTTTTTCATTCATGGGTTGGGAATTTTATTAACTGACCCATTTCTCCTGCTCAGGCATCGCAACCCTCACTCACAACTCAAGTTCACTACTGTAACGTTTCAAGGCTTTGCGCAGCAGCTACGCAGGCTCAAGAGGCAGATATTAGATCATCCTTCACAGGTAAAAATATTCAAGTAGAAGATGCACATAGAATTTAAGGTGTTTAAGGTGGCTACAAGACTTAAACAGTTCTCAGATAGATGATTCACTTAGTTACGGGCAACTTTGTCCAGATATAACATACAAAGGTGAGGCACTTACTCTTTATAGTCTATTGTTTAAACGAATGAAAATCTAACAGCTTTTTTAAGAATACTGAAAATAAAATCTACTCTGAAATATAGGGCTTGATCACTAAATCTGGCCTCCCTGTACCCATAGCTGGGTCTGAGAGGAGGCAATGTGAGTTTCTTGAAAAGTATAATAAGGCTATTTTTTTTTCCAGCTTTGCACTGAATCACAAAGAGTTGCCCTAACAGCTTGAGCCTGTTGCGTTACGCTGCTACTGTAGCCACAACTTTTCCCAGTTACTCCCACCTCTGATATACCCCTCAGCACTTGAATTTGCATTTTAGACACAGCTGAATGGTTTAAATCAAGAAATGCAGCTCTGTAATGGCACAGAAAGCCAGCTTTGCACTTGTTGAATGCCTTTTCCAATACACCAGATGGATTCTTCTCCTGAAGACTTCTCTCCTGTGCATCCCCATCTCTACTTTGACACCACAGTTCTCCTTTCAGGGTGGGATGCCTATACAAAAATAAGTCCTTTAGGACAGAGAGTGAAAAGTACTACCCCAAAGCAATGCAGTTCCTCTAGGACACCAAGCTGTGGCAGCGAACCCTAGCAGTCACCCCTATGAGGATCCTCGGTACTTTCTCCCAACTGCTTAACCAGTTCTTTACATCAGCACATTTCACCCCACCTCCTATGGAGCCTGGCAGGACAAGCAGGGACCTGTTTGGGCACCGCTGCTTTCCTTGGCACCAAGGAACGTGCGTTTTTCACCTCCTGCACCTTCCTGGTCACCTGTGCCCCTCAACCGACTCGGCCAGGCCTTGTGTCACTTATCCTGCCTTTGTGAGGGAATTATCTTCCAGATCAAGGCCCTCGACATCTTCCCTGTTTGTGAACTTCCCTAGGAACCAGGGAACTAGCTGAGATTATAAACACTGTATTAAGTACTCCTTCAGTCTGGCATATTCTGGGTATGATTTAAAGTTCATTTTTTATAGATAAGGCAGGGCTTTTTTTTTTTTTTTTTAAAAAGTCATTTTTTTTAAATAAGGCAGGTCTTTTTTTTTTTTTTTTTTTGCTGGTGTAGATCTACCTACAGTTATGCTGGCAAGGAACACGGCCCATCAATCTTACATTGTATACAAGTCAGGCACTTGAAATGAGCACAAAATCTGCCAGTTAAATAGGAAGCTCACTCTTTTTTGTGTATTTTCCAGGTTACTCTCCCACATCATCTACATAGACTTTGTACAATTCCCTTCTCATTTGTTAGTGTGCAGAGAAGAAGAAAATGGGACCTTATTCTAAACTTAAATATTGAAGCACAGATGCTTTCTTAATTGATCTGTAGGGTTTGTGCCAAGAAATCATAAAGTTTGAGTTTGGTACATTGTTGCCCCAATTAAAATATAAAGGCTCCCTTCCAACATGCTGCTCTTTTAGAGGTACCAAGCACCACATCCTATTTATCTTCCTGTGCAGCACCGCTGTAGAAAGTCCCACAGAAATCAGTTGTAAAAATGCCATTCGTTTCCACACAGTTAACATAAACACGTCAGTGCAGATTACAGATTCACTAACTGAGTTTGTAAGCTGTTCTGAACATGCTTTCAGGGAGACATACTGATGTATTGTAGCACTCCAACATCTGGGATGACTCCATCAAAAACTAAAAAGACTCTACCTATTCCAAGGATGTTACTTCATATAAATGCAAAAAGTAGTTAAGTCACCTTTGACAATTTCATTCCCTTCTAATCATGCTTGAGTGCTATTCAAAATTTTGAGTGGAGCAGGTTCACTATTGAAAATAGAGACTCACACATATATAAGCAAATTAATGACTTGAAATCAATATGTTGCAGTTACTAGGGCTATGGCATTCATTTTTTAGAAATACTCAGGCACTGAATATCCATGACAATATTTATGAACTTCAGAAATTTAGCAATTTTGTACCAAAAATGTGGTGGGTTTCTCCCCATGATTTTTCTGTTAAAATGTTTCAGTTCTCCAGTCAGAGAGCAGAAGCAATGTGATCATCACATGCCAGGAATTATGAATAACAAATAGCAGTTGTAGCATACAGTTTGTGAACCATCCTCGCTGTAAAAATTGTTCACTCCAACTATTTGGTGAATACATATGCATGATAAATACATTCACAGATCTCAAGGATGATTCACTTCTGACATGTGAATAAAGAAACAAGACTAAATTAATCTTGTTCCCAATTCACTTAATAAAATTAAACCCCGCCAAAGTACTACAGTTTGATTTATAAAGCTCTTAGGTATAATATTCTGTCAGACAGTTACCCAAGGCACTACCTCTTTCCTCCTGCAGCACCACAGGAGGAGATACTGCGTGGCTTTCTGGAACAGACCAGTGCTACAGCTCATCATTTTTAGTGAAAGCATGTTCACGGACAGGTCCAGTAAAGGAGCATGCATTTCCCCAGTTAGTCTGGTAGAGTTTGAGACCTGTTTATTTAACCTAACTCTCATGTTGGGATAGAGAGCAAGAGTTGCTATTAGTTTCTTCTGATATAAGTTTGTTTCCTTTTTCTAATTTGTGGAAATCGTGAAAAATTATATATGTGAATCCCATCCTTGGCAAATATGACTCAATGCCCTTCATAAATGAAATGGATGCACAAATAATGCAGACTCTCATAATGACACAACGTTTCATTTGGGCATCTTTATCCTCTGCTCATGAGGACATAGCAAGCTCAGGTCGCAATTACAATAGAAATTAACATCAAATGAAACTACTGTGTAGGCTGTTGAATCTGCAGAAATAGTTCTCACAGAAGGGACACGAGTTGTCTTTCATGCTATTCAGAGTAAACAAATTTCTTATCTGACCTGGAATCACGGGATTCTTATGGTAGTAAATATTATACTTGGCAAGTATTTGTAGGATGATGACTTGAAGTATTGTATTCATAGTTGGCAGCATTCCTTATACTTGTATATTATTCTACAAAGTTTGTGACCTATGCCTTTAAACAGCTTACTGAAATAAAAACAAAATAGAAAGGTCAATGAAAATATTACTTTCCTAATGCTTTCTAAAAGAGAAGACCAAGTATCAAAATGGCCAAGGTGACAGATTAAAATTAATTTAGACATTTTGTGTTTGTTCACCCTGAAATATCACTCCAAGCCTTACAAAGCACACCCAGATGACTGGTGTCTTCCTTCATACATCTATATTAAGGTCAATACCGCTGGGAACAAATTATAAGAAATCTTGCCAGGAGCTTATCCCACAACAAACCATCTGAAATAGCCTATAAATAAAATATCTGTGAAGGGATTCATAGATACATAGTAAAGATTGCTATATACCTGAAAAAAAAAACAGTAATGGAAAAATAGCTATTTCTTACAGCTAAAATTGAAGACGTGTATATCAGAAACCTGTAGTTCCCACACATTTTGGTGACCTCTGATGAAAAATGGCTGGCACAACCACAGGTTGTTTTTAAGGTGAAGAACACTGTGTTCAGGGCAACAGGTCACCTCAGGGCCCTGTGCACATCCCCCTGCCGGCCCCATCCTGCTGGGGCCATGGGGAGAGGTGCCCCAGGTGCCCTGCGCCCTGGCCAGGGTGGTGGGATGGGCCCTGGCTGGGAGCCCCTGCCCTGCCACCCTTGGGGAGCCCCCAGTGCTTCAGCAGCTGGAAACAGCTGGGCAGGTGGATCAGGATCAACCCCGAACGTGCCTGGCATCCAAATCCAGGCAAGCACATACATTTTAAGCACCTTGGGAAAGTACAATAAATGTTTCATTAGTTGTCCGTAAGAAAATAAAGTGTTATATTTGTGCCACTAACCACAAAAGCTATTTATAGCTATTTTAAGGCAGTGGCTGAACTGGTTAGATCAAGCAACAACGTGCAATTAAATATCTTAGAAATAATCATTCTTTCTACTCAGCTGGTTTACGCAGGTGTGAGAGCTGCCCTCTCAATACTTCTCTCATTGTACCTAGTAGCTTTCCAGCCTTTTGAATTTAGGATATTTACAAGTTTTCATACCATTAAACCATTAAGTATCCTGAGTCTGCAGTGATAAACTGTAAGGCAAGTTCATTCATACGCTGAAGTGCAGCACCTCATTTAGCAAAGCTGTGGCAATACCTTCTAAGTCTTCTTTAAGACTACATCCATTTAATAACAATTAATTAATACAGAGTTACTAGAGAAATTGTCATAGAACCATAGAACATTTGGGGTTGGAAGGGACCTTTAGAGGTCATCTAGTCCAACCCCCCCGCAGTGAGCAGGGAAAAACCTCTATAGAAACCACTATAGAAAGAATAAATTCTCTGCTCGTACCAATGAGAAAATCTCTAATGAAGTCAATGGATCTGGTGCTTATTGAACAGAAAATGTGATTTCTAAACTGTATATTTTCATGAATTATTGAAGGATCTCTGAAATAAATTTGAGGGTGAGGGCTGCAGTACTAATCCAGCTGGAAAAAACACAAATCGCATGCCATGTGACTAAGCCCAAATAATTCACACTTTTAGAGGCTGACGTTCACTTTTAGTTGGTTGGTTGGGTTTTTTTACTTACTGCTTTATACGTTCTCTTTTGGCCAGCATGTTTTCTGATTTGTTCTCCATTAGGCCCAGTTTCAACATGCATGGAATAGATAATGTCAAAGAAATCTTCTACCACGGCTACCCGCCGTAAAGACAGCTTCTCATCTACACCTACTCCATCCTGGAAAGAAAAAAAGAGAAAAGAAAGGAGGATGAGATAAACAGATAAATTATGATAATCATGAGACGCATTCTCCTTTTTTAGTAAGGAGTTAAAGACCCTTCCACTGAGATCTGAAGGTCACCCACCCTGTGAATAACAGAAACAGTGTTGTAGGAAAGCTGTATGATCAGACGGATCATATGGACCCTTGCAAGCAGTCCATTTTGCCAAGCCAGGGCATTTGGTCTCTTGATAGACGGGGATCTTTCACTCCAGTATTTAAAACATGAAACAAAAAGTATCTGTGCTTCTTTCTCCAAATACACAAACAAGACTCAAAGGCAGAGGCAGTCCCAAACACGTGGCACAGAAATGCATTATGCAGCTGTTAATAAGAACGCAACAGCTCTTTTATCCTCTCATTCCCCTCCCAGTAAATCTGTACCTAGCATTTCATAAAGGTACTTAATAAAAGGTTTTAATTCACAGGTGACAGAGCTGACTGTAATTATGAATACAAAGGAAGTTGTTACAAACAATTTACCCCTGAAAAGCCTGCTTGAAAATATACTGCATAAAGACATATCACAATATGAGGAAAAGAAAGGGATATTTTTAAAATTCGTGATTTTTGTACACAGATGTCCGATTGGAACAAGTGACAGAGAAGTGTGGACACCTACCATCTGATTTTCAAAAGTGATAGCACCATGGTAGCTAAAGACTTCTAGAACACAAGCAGTCCCCAATGTCTCTGAAATTAATCGGTGCAGTTGAATTCCCTCCTTTTAAATAGAACCATGCTTACAAGGTGGGGGGGGGGTTGTTTTACAGCTGTCTATGGATTCACCTCTAATGAAGGGGCAGGAACTGGGACTCTTGTTTTTCCAGAGCAGGCATCTATCAAGCAGGTTGTGTTTTGTAATACAACATAAGTATATGAAAAATAAAATAAGAATGGCCAATTCACTTTTACTCCAACACAGCATTTGAATTTAGACCTCTGGAGGCGACAGTGTCACCTAACCTTCAATGAGTATTTTAAGCAATAAATGCATTCAAAACTTAACACGTTTGATAATACCATTACCGCTGCTGTAATTCATCCCGCAACAAAACTGGTTTACAGTTTTTGTGACAAAACACATGCAATTATTGCTGCAGTGACGAAATAAAGACCACAGTGAGAAATGAAAAGGCAGCAGTTACATATGAGTCCCAGTTGCCGCCCCCCTGCTAATAACTTCTTGCTAACCCACTCCAATAAGTTTGAGGGATGTGGACAAACATGATTTATTTTTCTCACTATGCCTATTTTTATTCCAGCCCACACACTTTTATTTTTCATAGAGTTCATGGAAAGAACCCAAATAATCCCAGTGGCTCCAGAGAAGCCCCGAGGGTGACACAGAGGAGCTCTGACATGTTCCCAGTAGTGACGGAGAAAATGTCAGTGACTCTGTAGCATAAATTCCTAAACTCCAAATGTTATCAGGTTAGGAGGTGTTGATATGCTACCAGCCATACGAGTTTTGTCCTTTCCTCTTCCACCATGGCCCTGCCTCTCCCCAACCTTCATCAAAGAGGTCCCTGCCCAAAGCTAGGTTGTCCTTTCCATCTGCACAGCAGGTTGTGCTCTTTATCCCCAGGAGAAAGCTGGAACGGAGCAGAACTCCCTCATGTGCAAGAGGATTGCCACAGTCCTGACAGAAGTGACTGCGTTGACGATTCAGGGTGGAGGAAGATGAGGAATTTTCAGTGCATCTCCACCACAGGTTAAAGCCTCAGAGACATGAGCAGGGAACAGTTGCTCTGAGAAGGCAGTGAGGCTCACATCCCATGAACAGTCCCTTAAATTTCACTAGCCACCAGCTCAAAAATTTTGTGGCATCATGACAGGTTCTGGTATCAGCATCATTAAGAATTTGCTCAGTATCGCCACTATTAAAAAGAAATGCTGTAGAGATGGGGCCAGCATAAAATCCAGATCTTTTCAGATTAGATCTTTAGGGGAATTCACACCTGAGCTCTGTAGGGGGGCCCATCTTCAATGATTATTTTCTCACCACCCAAATGGCATGGTGGGATACCTAATGATTTCAAATGCTCTTATTATGACGACAGTGTTATCTCATGCCGCTCTCCAAACACTCAGAAGTTTATAGTGTTGATTAACTGATAAAGATTTAATCTGTTTATTACTAATGAGTTTTGTTTTAGGAAATTTCCTACGGGGGAGCTCTCTTTTTTAATTAAAGAGAAATGCATTACAACAATATTAATTTAAAACCTGAGATGCCACCTCAGCAGAGCTGACACATGCAAACATTAGGAATATGTTCAAAGAAGAAACTCAAAACCAAAACTCATTTTCCTGCTTTGGTGGCCATAGTGCACAGTGACCTTCTTTGATGGTCCTCCTACCCCCCTCCCCGGACACTAATAGCCAAAGGTAGGTAGGCATAATGTGGGTGCGCTCTTGAAGCTGCATTTCTCCATCCAGCCGAATAAAACAGTAAGCATTGCTACTAATCCTAAAAATACAAAGAAGTAAAATCATAGAATCATGGAATCGTTTAGGTTGGAAAAGACCTTTAAGATCATCAAGTCCAACCGTTAACCTAACACTGCCATCCCACCACTAAACCATGTCCCTAAGCACCTTGTCTACCCGTCTTTTCATGCCTCTTAACTGAAGTGCCAGAAAGTGAATACAAACTTTCCAAATCATATCAGTCAAAAAGGGTAGGAAAAAAATGGTTTACATTGACTGGAAACTGCTTCAGGGGAAGACAGTACTATTCCTTAACATCTATACTTGTAACTTCATCATTGTCTGCGGGCCTGGACATGACCAGATCAGGCTTTGTTCTGCTTGGTGTCATGTAAGGCAAGTAAGGTAGACCTTGTTTCAGAAAGCCTGCAGTGCTGCAGAAATTGCTGAGTTGCTGTAAGTAAGCTGTTCAGTCCATCTGGCAACATGCAATGCTGTGCAGAGATGCAAGCCTTAGCTGCAGAAAACACCAGATGAGTAACTTGAATGAGAATAAGGTAGCTACTTACTGAGACTTTTAATATCCCAGTACCGACATCCCAGCAAGTAAAAAGCTGGGCAAGCAATACAACCCCAAATCTCCATCTAAACCACACAGTTTCTGAAGTGGACACAGTTGTATCAGGCTTTCCTGCCATATGCCATTACACTACACTCTTATCCTGAAATTGCTATTTGTTAAAGGCATAAACAAAGCAGCTCTACTTTATAAGCTGGCTTTAGGTAGGGGCACCCCTGCAGATGGATTGGGGCAATCCCAAGCACAAATACAGACAGCAGAGAATGGATTGGGAGCAGCCCTGTGGAGAAGGACTTGGGGGTGTTGATTGATGAGAAGCTCAACAAGAGCTGGCAACGTGTGCTCGCAGCCCAGGAAACCAACCCTATCCTGGGCTGCATCAAAAGCAGCATGGCCAGCAGGTCGAGGGAGGTGATTCTCCTCCTCTGCTCCACTCTGGTGAGACTTCACCTGGAGTACTGTGTCCAGCTCTGGGGCCCCCAACAGAAGAAGGACATGGAACTGTTGGAGTGAGTCCAGAGGAAGGCCATGAAGATGATCAGAGGGCTGGAGCACCTTTCCTACAAGGACAGGCTGAGAGAGTTGGAGTTGTTCAGCCTGGAGAAAAGAAGGCTACAGGGAGAGCTTATAGCAGCCTTCCCAGACCCGAAGGGGACCTACAAGAAAGTTGGTGAGGGACTTTTTACAAGGGCATGCAGTGATAGGACAAGGGGTAATGGCTTTAAACTAAAAAAGGGTAGATTTAGATTAGATAGGAGGAAGAAATTCTTCACTATGAGGGTGGTGAAGCACTGGAACAGGTTGCCCAGAGAAGCTGTGGCTACCCCATTGTTGGACATGTTCAAGGCCAGGTTGGACAGGGCTTTGAGCACCTGGTCTAGTGGAAGGTGTCCCTGCCCAAGGCAGGGTGGTTGGAACTAGATGATATTTAAGGTCCCTTCCAACCCACACCATTCTATGATTCTATGAAAAATTTTCACGGTATCTAAGGGGACTTCTTTTTAGCCTCAGCTAAGGCTAAAAAGAGGTGAATGAGGGAATATATGAGTGATAATGCTATTCAGATGTCTGAAAGGCTATGAAATGTCCACAAGGGACAGGGCAAGTAATAGGCTTAAACCATGGCACAGGAGATTTACATTAGACATTAGGAAAAACTTACTATTGATGTGGATAGTCAAGTACAGTAATAGTTTGCCTGGGGAGGCTGTGGCATCTCTGTCACAGGAGGATTTTGAGACCAAGTTAGACAAATATCTGTCAGGGATAGTTTGAATAAATCCTGTCTTGGATAAGCTAGATATTATCTGAGTTCCTTCTTGATAACTCTATGACTGAGAAGCTTAAATGCCACTTTCAAAGTGACTTGGGTGCTAACAACTCTGGAATAGCAAGGAGGATATTTATAAATCACTGAGGTATTTTTAGGACTTTCATTCGTCATGGCACGAGTCCAAGCCCCACTTTCTAAAATGACTTAGGAATGGAAGCCTCACTGAATGTTTCTCTTCAAGAACTGAACTTAGACTCCTAAATCTTTCAGGCTGAATTTCATCCCACTTGTTCCGGCCATCACAGAGGTATGCCCCCACTCCAAACCAGTTTTCTCAGATGCCTCTCTGGCCAACAGCATGACAGGCACTGCCAAAATCCAATTCATCCTTATAGCTGCTGGAATGGCCTCATTCTCTATCAGTGAAAAGCTACTTAATTTTACTCTTTACATTGCAGGTTTTCCTGTTTATTCTTGTTTTTATGTTTCTTCAGTGATCTTCCTATGTTCTTAGGATACAAATAAATAGATGTTTCTTTTCATTTTCAGCCCTGCGGATTCCATTTGCACTCTGAGATTAAAGTTGTTTGTTTGTTTGCTTTTAGATATCTACACAAAGAGTAAATTTCTGGACAGAGGTGACTTTTACAGAGAGTTGTGCACCTCTCAGA